AGGATAGCTCACGCACGAATCATTTGGCTCCTAAATGGGAAAGCTGACTAACTTACAGCAACTACGTGCATTGGATTGATGAGCCTACTGCTGTTTATGGCGGCTCACTTCAGTTTCCCTGATTTGATCACCAAGAGCAGCTTGGCTTGGCACCATTTGGTTCGAGTCACCGGTTCCACCGTGTGGCATAGGGCATGGCAGAGAAAGAAGGAGGTCATTTGCTCGCGCTCGCTACTGAGGCATTTGATGGCTTTGGACAACTCAGTAGCATCCATATGTACCTCACAGTACGCATTCCAAACTGCGTCTCAAGAAGCTACTAATAGCAAGAAGCTATTCGGTTGGAGGCCATTTCTACTAGTAGCAAGAAGCTACTAGTAGCAAGGCACCTAACTACGTCTCAACAACCCTCCATACAACGACGTATAAGAATCCTCCAAACCCTGACAACACAGAAAGAAGGGACGCTTGTTGCGCATGGACACTTCTTCTTGAGACTGTAGTGATGTTTGATTTGGTTTCTCAAGTTCTAAGCGGAATTGTTGTGCATGCCAAAGCGCATGAGCGTCATCAAGGACAATCTCCTCCAACCCTTCGAGGCCATAGATCTTCCCTCCCACAGAACAGCACTTGTATTCCTGGTCACGAAACTCAACGGAAATACATCTGAGGTTTAATTGTCCTTGAGGAGAGAGTCCTACTGTGCAGAAAGTAAAAGGGGACACCAAGCTGTGGTGTCCTCCATTGTACCAAGTAGTAGCTGCAGTAGCAGTAGCCGTAGCAGTAGCAGTAGGAATAGCAATAGCAGTAGCAGTAGTAGTAGTAGTAGTAGGAGTAGTAGGAGTAGTAGGAGTAGCAGTAGCAGTAGCAGTAGCAGTAGCAGCAGCAGCAGCAGTAGTAGTGTAGTAGTATGAGTAGCAGCAGCAGCGGCAGCAGCACAAGCAGCAAGACGATAGTAGCAGGAGCAACACTAACACGGACAGGGCTAGGGGAGGCAAAATCGCGAATTCCTTGCCAAGAATCCATGACATTCTGTGTCAAGGTGCCCGTCTTGTCAGAGAAGACATGGGTGATCTTCCCCAAGGTATCAATAACTTGGCTGCAGTGTGCCTCTGACTTTCGACCATTGCTGCAAGTCCCAGGATCCTCTTCCAGCATCTTCCCCTGAAGTGTCAAAACACCTTGAGAAATCAAGCAACTAGGAACAAGTGCATCGCTACTAGTAACAAGTGCCTTACTAGTAGTAACAAAAAGCTATTAGAAACAAGAAGCTAACAAGTGCCTTACTAGTAGTAACAAGAAGCTCTACAATTCGGTCAAGCTTCCAAAGCAAATTTCACCACAGTTGTAGTGATCATCAGGGAGATGGGCACCATGCTATTTAGCATCAGAAACCAAATCCCAATCTGTCTGAAAGGGTTCAAAAACCGTGGCAAGCCGTCCAAATACCAGAGCTGATGGCCATGCATCCCTTGCCACATCAGGCTACAAATGGAAATCAAAACACAGGTCCCCATCTGAGCTCCGAAAATCATCATCACCACCTGATTCAGCTTTTCGTCCAGCGCACTGTTCTTAAAACGGGCTGCTCGACTGTTCTTGAAACTGCGCGTCTCTTTTCCAACATAAACCGCCATGCAATAAACCCAGCCCGTCTGCTGCAACGAAGTGCCGCGCAAGAGCAGACTACCAACACCTAGCCCACGAGATTGCTCTTCCATCAAGCCTCAAGAAGGGCCCATCTGAAGCGCAAACCACACAAAGTAAAGAAACATCTCCCCTCAAATATTTGTCTTTTTCTCTGTTCGTCTTGTTCTTGTGATTTCAATGTTTATTCTAGACCCGTTTTTCCTATTTACTTATTTCAAGAACGGCATCCACCTGTCCATTCTATTTTGGACGCTCTACGTCCGCTGCCAGTTATACGTGTGCATGAGAATAGGGGATCCTTCTACGACTGTTCTCCCCATTCTACTACCGCTATCGAAGTCCATCAAAAAGTCCTTCGCCCCAGAAAGGGTGCCTAAAACAAAAAACGGACATATATATATATATACATGAAAAAAATAGATAGGCACCATTGCTATTAGGTTGAAGGCCATCGCTCTTAGGTTGGAGGCCATCGCTCTTGGGTTGTTAAGAACATGTATATATGAAAATAAAAGAAAAACATCGGCATCTCCCGTTTAGCTCATTGTTTACTACTAGTAACAAGTGCCACGCTAGTAGTAACAAGTGCCTTACTAGTAGTAACAAAAAGCTATTAGAATTAATTCAAGCAACATAAGGAGCTCTTGAAGGCATAGAGGTTTCCACTTGGAGGTTCACAGACCAGGCTTGGTGCAGAGCCAGGTCCAATCCGCCGACAGTTCCAGGCTGCCTCCTGGGAAGAAACCCAAAAGAAAACAACCAAAACGAAAGAAAAGGAAGTGTAAGCATGTTAACCCATCTTCTCTTCAGTCCTGAAAGGGTAATTGAGAAGAGTAGGCGATTTTGGATTGTGAAAGAAAAGCATCCACCAAATTGTGCGTCTCTTCTCTTATGGCCATAAGCTACTAGGAACAAGTGCATCGCTACTAGGAGCAAGGGCCTTACTAGTAGTAACAAGAAGCTTACTAGTAGCAAAAGGAATCTACTAGGACCTTTGGACATTTCGTGACCCAAACCTCGGTCACCTAATTAACCTTAATTCTAATTACGAATTCTTGTTACTAGAAGCGATGCACTTGTTCCTAGTAGCTTCTTTTTTCTGATTTGTTCCTTTAGACCTGTCTTCCGATTTATGCCTGTTTATGTAGACTCGCCCTTGTTCTGTTCTTTCTCTTGTTTCTCTTGACTGTTCTTCCGGTTTGTTCTTTTATATTTAGACTCAACCCATTTCTTTTCTTTGTTCTTTAGATCTTCTTTTGCTTGAAGCTGGAGGACCACCCTTCTCACAAAGAATCCTGGAACTCTTCCTTTGTCAAGGCAGGAGCTTTCTTCTTCAGGTTCGTCTCACCATCCAAGTTTGCTGTCTCTATGCAGCAGTGTCCATCATCATGGCAGCTCGTCAGCAGCAAGCAGTCCTGGGACAACATCAATCATGACTTCTCTCTTCCCTGCATCTAATCTGCACCTCTTGAATCGCATACAAATCACACAGCAAAATCTCTGCTGATGCATTGATTTCACTTCTAGGACTGCCACCTGGAACAAACCTTGGATTATTTTATGTTGGAAGCCATCGCAAGTAGGTTGGAGGCAATCACTATTAGTTTGCTTCTGACTTTTGTAAGACCTCTCACTGACCATGCTTTTTCCACCAAGACTCTGCAGAAATGGGCTCGCCTTCCTGCACTTTCAGCACCATCCCAGGCTGAATTTGACCCCAAATAATGGACGTCTCGTCCAGTTGTTCGTCCACCATCACGGCCTGCACATCCAGTCAAACCACTGACACAAGACTGTTTTAGCCGGTGTCCTCGAAGCATGTTGTTGTTGTTTTTCGAGAATGGTCAATTCTGGGTTTTCAATGGGATACGCCGTGAAGCCAAAGCCACACATAAGCAAACTCTCACCACTCTGTCACACTCTGCCTGTCGGCTGTTCTCCACGCGGTCGGAGTGCATCCGTTGGCAATCTTCAAACAAATCCTTCACAGCTTGCATAAATACCACAGCACTTAGTGGCACCAGGGTGGCAGGTTGTCCTTTGGTATTGCTGATGGCAGGGATGAGCTGTCCCAACGCCACCAGCAAGAAATAGAAATTTCCCATCTGGCTGAACTGCTCCAGCAAATTCTTCGGAATAAAGTTATACCAGGTGTATTTGTTGGTAAAAATCCGATTGTTTCGCCGTCCATCTGCAGAGAAGAGCTTGATGCTTCGAGCGTCATCACTCATGCCGACCGCTCGGACCGCACCGTCATCCGCAGGGACCGTCTCTGCACACGAAAGCGTGCTTTTGAAGGGCACACCAGGTCTATTTTGTGCTTAGCATGCGGAAGTACCAACAAGCACAAACGGGGGTTGACCTGTCTGCTAGTAGCAAGGAGTGGGAAAGAAAGGCGTAAAAGTACTAGCAAGAGGCGTGAAGAAACCACCTCATCGCCCCAAAGGATGCAATTCTTAGGAGGCAATGATCGGTTCTTTGGTCAAGGTATACTGCTGGTTTGGGCTGAACACACAGGAGCGTGCACACATGCATTTGAGCCCATAGGATTGTGCCAGTCGCGTGTTTTTGCGCAGCTCAAGTTGCATGGCAGAGGGTTATATATAGAGGGCAGTGATACTATGGGAAAATCGTGCATAGTACCTGGAAAAGTGAGGAGTCATGTTAGTGATTCTGATACCGTTCCCCTCTTGTGGGCTACTGAAGGCTTTCTCAAAGTTCTGAAGAAGTCTAAACCCAAAAACGGATCACAAAGGTGCAGAAACCCTGCGAAAACAAAGATAGAATGCGCCATGTTTATACTCTTGCGGTGGTCTTCCTTCAATCTTTGGGAGCCGCCCTGCTTGTTGGAAAGCCATCGGATGTTAGGAGTGCATGCCACGAGCCCCTAGTAGCTTCTTGTTACTACTAGTAAGGCACTTGTTACTAGAAGCGATGCACTTGTTCCTAGGAGCTTCTTGTTCCTAGTAGCGATGCCAGGAGCCCCTAGTAGCTTCTTGTTTCTGGTAAGAATGCTCCTAGTAGCGATGCCAGGAGCCCCTAGTAGCGTCCTTGCTCCTAGTAGTAAGGCCAGGAGCCCCTAGTAGCTGATGTTAGGAGTGCATGTTTTGCTACCGCAAACACTTTGGTCGTGCAAGGTATCCAAATGGAAAACCTGCTGGTTTGGCCGTTGACGGTGTCGATGGCTCCGACAGCTCTTCTTGAAGACTTGGTGACTCCAAAGGAAAGAAGAATTGAAGTGACTCCATAGGGTGGATTCCGGTGGATCGTTCAAAACGCTTCAAAACTATGTCACTGTCCCTTCCAAGAGCTCCTTATCCACGCCGTTCTTCTGCCCTTGCTCCCTTTTGCCAGAGCAGATATGATCTGAGGAGGGACACGACCGAGACCCAACCGAGGCCCAACTGGAACGGCTCAGCAGTTTACGGCGTCAATAAAGCTAAGTCTTTGAGCATCTTCTCCACAATGGGCCGACCTTTAGATCTCCAATCATCAACTGCGGCGTGGAATTCGGCTGTTCCAGGTTTCAGTGAGATGTCCTTGCCGACCAAGTTGCTACCCATACCTACGATACTTGCACCGGCCTTGAGCCATTCAGATGCATTGCCTGGAGACACGCTACCAGAAGGCAAAATGTTCAAGTTTTCACCCAAGGGTGTCACATCCAGCATAGCTTTCAGGATGGCAGGAGACGCCAAGCCCGCATGAAAGAGTTTGATGAGACGTGCACCTCGCCGGTGCATCGACCAACATTCATTGCTGGTGAAGGCAGATGGGACCGCCAGGACACCGAGATTCTTGCAAACTTCGATAAAGCCGATCGGATCAATGGGAGATAATGCGAAAGAAGCTCCAAGACTCTTGGCCAAGGGAATTTGGGACACGGTGTCATCCATCACCGTGCCCACACCCAAAATCACATCCGGAAGTCGCTGATGCAGGGATGATAAGATGAGCTGCCAATCAGCACTATCCATGGTGACCTCCATGGCTTTACATCCCAAGGATGCCAATTCGACCCCTCTATTGATAGCCACCTGTGCATCACCCTTGACTCGAAAGATTGGCAACACCTTGGCATCTTTCATCTTCTTCAAAGTCATTTCAATGACTTCGGCTGCGTCAACTGCAAAAGATGGAACAGAAACGATGGGACCTGATGTAGCTGATATATGATGGACCAGTGAGGTGGAGCTGGATGGAATCTGGCGCTCTTCCGCAGCCGAAAGCTCCTCGCTGCTCCAAAAATGAAAAGAAACCTCCTCGCTGCCGCTTTGAAAACATGAAAACAACAAAATGGACGACTTTTTATAACCTGAAGCCTCAGGAGAGAGTGCGGCTTCTTAGCCTGGTAGCTACTTGTTCTACTTCTGCATTCTCTCCACACAGCCTACCCTCCCCAACTAGATTCTCAATCTTTTTTGGCCGCTCCTACTTGATTAAGTCGGCACCTGCCTAAACAAGTAAGGGAGAAGTAAGCTACTCTATATATATATATATATATAGGCGAAGTTAGCTTCTAGACTTGGACGTAGGATGGCTCACGCTCGCACTGATGATTTGGTTCTTGGCATGACTTCCTGTGTCTTAATCACCTATCCTGTGTCTTAATTCCGCTTACTTACTTTGTCTAGTTTAAAGAAGCGTCTACGTTGTCGTCCGCTCCTGGATGCTCACTCGGGAGAAGTCGCCCTCAGTGTTTTGACTGAGCGCTGAAAGGAGATCAGCTCGCCGCAAGGCCTCGGGGATGGTCAAGGAGTCGACGTGCAACGCATGGATCAGACCTGCAGGGGCGCCATGGCACAAGCACGCTACTAGGGCTCCTGGCATCGCTACTAGGAGCAAGGACGCTACTAGGGGCTCCTGGCCTTGCTACTGGTAACAAGAAGCTACTAGTAACAAGGACGCTATTGAATGGAGGCCGTCGCTACTACGGTGGAGGCCCCAATCTGCTGGAGTTATCGATAGCAACTATATTAGACCGTTCTTAATTGTCCTGTTTCTTTGTTTCGAGCGGCCTGCAAGCTACAAGCGATGGCAAAACCCTCTGGACCGGACCTGCTGCCCAAGCACTTCCGCCACCGCATTCATCCTTGGGGACATGAGAGATAGGGATCGACCGATGCTCTCGGACAGAATCTCCATCGAGCTCGGTCAACAAACTCCAACGTGTCTGAAGCCCGGTTGAATCATCCCGGTTCTTCACGCACATTGCCAGGCGCTTACATTTCAGCTGCCGGATTAAGCGTGACATGATGTGCAAATAGACAGTGTCAGAGTCACCTTCCAAGCTCGTGTTGAGGAGCAGTTCTGCAAGGCCACTCAACTGATCAGTCGAAAGAATCAACACCTCCAAAGCACTGCAGAAAGGGGAGACGATGTTCCAAAGCTCCGATAAGGTGCCTGGGGTGTTTAAAATGTGTGATGCAACCAACATACGAAGCTCTCGATAGACTTAACACATTTGATGCCTAGCTGCACTAGCTGCACTATACACTAGCTGCACTAACTTCCCACAACTTCTTCCAGATATTCAACATGCGAATCTCCAACCTAATTGTTTCCGATGGTTGAGGTCCAAGGACACTGGAAGGCAAGAAGTCGCCTCATGCATAGCTGCCTTCCAACTTCTCTGTGCATTGTCGCCCAAGAGTGGTGTAATGCCACTGACATGGAACCAGCTACTGGACTTCAAACTCGACCACTCCAGCTCGTGGGCAAAACGTGCGAATGCAGATGAGCTCCTCAAAGAACTGAACGAAGAAAGCAGAATCTTCACACACCTACTAGCGAGGACGCTACTAGGAGCAAAGGGCATCGCTACTAGGAGCACGGACGCTACTAGGGGCTCCTGGCATTGCTACTAGTAACAAGAACGCTACTAGCGCGATGGCCTCCAACCTAATAGCAAAAGGAACCTAGTATAGCGATGGCCTCCAACCTAATAGTGATGGCCTCAATTACACCACCGTAGACCCCAAACAGTTTGTGTTTTTCAAAACCGGAACAGTCTGCAACTAGAGCTTGCGACGTCCAGAGCTGGGAGACAGCCAATCCGGGTCGCGGTTCACGGCGGCCTGTCAGCCACTCAAGATCCTGACCGGCCACTCAGCCACTCAGCCACTCAAGATCCTGGGTGGCTGAGTGGCTGAGTGGCTGACACGAAGAAAGCCTGAGTGGCTGAGTGGCTCATTGGAAGAAAACCCTGAGTGGCTGACAGGAAGCCGAGTGGCTGAAGTAGTAGTAGTCGTCGTCGTCGTCGTCGTTGTCGTGGTAGTGGTAGTGGTAGTAGTAGTAGTAGGAATGGGGGTAGGAGTTAGGAGTAGGAGTAGGAATGGGGGTAGGAGTTAGGAGTAGGAGTAGGA